GCTCCCCCCCCCCGCCGTATTCTCCGGACATTGCTCCTTCTGATTACTGGTTGTTCCAAAGGATGCATGATTTGGCAAGTCACCGGCTCACTTCTTTCGCAGAAATCGAAAATTGGCTCCAAAATTGGATCGCCTCCAAAGACGAGTCATTTTTTCGAGATGGAATTCGAAAATTGCCTGAGAGATGGGAAAATATATATAAAAGGTATGTTCGGGAAGACGCTATTAGTGTTTTTGAGTTATTCTATCTTTATCGTTTATCAAACGTAAACAGGATGACACAAATAATGCTAAATAGCGTTTCCTCGAATCGCATCTGTAATAGTCGATATCTTAATAACAGTAATATTCAGATTTGTATTGCAACTAATTGTTTCGAGTTTGTTTTGCTAGGTAATACAGTGACGGAACTCGGCTTCTCAGTATATCAAAGTACCAACCTATTATTAGGTTCACGCGAGCATGTGGGATTTCTTTTTATTCGTCAGACATTGCAATGCTTACAAAAGATTATTTTACCGCCTGCACCTTTTTTGATTGGTCTGTTGGTTCACAGGTAAATATAATACAGTTTCGCAATTATGTATTGGTATTTTATCTAAATGTGATTCTATATTGTATGAGTGTGTCTATTATGTCGAGTATTTTTCTGATAACATAAGCGGGCAGGTATGAATCATGCATGATTAGTGAAATACAATTAACAATATATTTGTGTTAAAAAGATTATATTTGTTTATACATTTATTTATTTTGGCTCTTCTTTGGATCATCTTCAGTGAATGTTCATAAATTATAAGATATTCTAAACTCCAACTTGGAAAAGGTAAAATATATTATTGGCAAATAAATGTGTATCATGCACTTGAATATATTATAAAACAAGAAGATTGAAAATATCCAATCAGAGTAAAGAATTAAAAAAAAATTTTTATTATACATCTGCCAATGATGTGTTCTATCTTTTCCAAATTGTAGTTTCGACTACCTTATAATTCATCATTGACAACACTTTCGGAGAAGAGCCGAAATGTCTGGACAAATGTAATTTTTTATATATACATATTTTTAATTGCACTTCATTAACCGTGTTTGACTATCATCTGCCTGCTTTCTTGTTAGAGTTAACGAGAATCTGTAAACTATTATTATTTTTTGACAGAGCGTATAAAAACTGCCGGAACGCATTATCAATGATGTTTAACTTAATAATTAAAAAAAAATAATAATAAAGTATACGGGCAAGAGAGCGTCAATATAGCACAGAAATTAGTATGCAAAATTCTTATAAAATTCATATATTATAATATTCACATAATATATAAATCTACTATGAGTATACACAATACAAATATAATGTCGATACAAATTTCTTGGACGTTTCAGTTTATTTTTTTCATTATCAGCAAGTTGTGCATAATTTTCATCGATGTCTTTACAAAAATTTAATCCTCTAATGTTAGAAATATGTTTTAAATGAGATCGAGAATGAGCATGTCCTTATTGCCTGGTATTGAGAGTTGCAAAAATTATTTCCTCGTTGTTTAAATGACTAACCTTTGTCCCTATAGATCACAATGAATTATTCCAAGCGTATCACGTCAATTTACAAAATAGAAAGATTATAAGAATTAACAATTGTTAAACATTGAATATAAAATATACAAAAATATAAAAATATAAGTAATTTGTTTCTCATAACATCGAAGAAAAGGGATATGGATTTCTCTCTCATTGCATTGTCTATTGCGCCTGATACATATTTTAATAATTTTTAATAATTTTTTTTGAACTCTCAACTACAATCATGAAAGACACCAGTCTTATAATTATACATCGACATTCTTTTATTGTACATTTCAACCAAGACGAAGATTCATTTTAATTATTGATATAAACGGTTATATATATAACGGTTATATAGTTAGCAATGCGAAGTATATTTTTATTTTTTTATCGATCGACTATATGTTACGTTTTTATCGTTCTGACAAATTTTGTAAACATTAATAATGATCTGATCTCTCGTGATCGAAACGTCTGTTAGCCGGCATGTTTTGTTAAAGTTTATAATAATTAAATAAGACTTTATTTATCCACCAATCTTTCTATACTTATATTTATATTTCTGGCTCGTCCTTTCTCTTTTAACTTGTTTAAAAATATATTGTAAAATTCAGTTAGTATATAATAAGGGCTTTTCAAATCTAATAAGGCAACGTATGCTATTATTAAATTGTTTTATTATCCTTCATATAAACAATATTTCAAACGTTTCGATCTTTTTTCAATGGTCATCTGCAGTGAATGTTACAAAAATTTATATATTACCGTAAATTATTACATATTTCATAAGCCTATAGTGAATATAATAGTCTTAATTATATAATGGTCCTGAACTTAATATAATGGTCTTCATGAACTTAATATAAATTGTCTCAGTACGATCTTTGTTTGACAAAATTTACAATATTTTTTCGATAGAAGCGACATTTGAGAATTATGATTGGTGGATAACCATATACAGGGTGCGCCAAAATCCGGACAAATCGAACAATTTCTTTAAACAAAATGTTTTTAATGAAAAATTAAATATTATAAAAAATCCTTTTACATGGCACTTGGGAGATCCCTATAGGGCACAATTATTTGATATATCTCCCATTAGCTTGAATGACGGCTTCTATTCTCGGTCTGAAGCGTTCGCACGCACGCTGTAATGTACCGCTGCCCATGCCGATGAATGTTCAATAGCGGTCCTTAATGGCATTGGGATGCCGATACTTGTTTGTAACCCTTTCAACTTTCAAACGCTCCATACGTAATAGTCTAAGAGATTTAAATCTGGGCTGTGTTAATTCTTGTAATTTTCCTATTTCGTAAATTGGTGTGCTACGCTTGGAATTCATTGTGATCTATAGGAGGTTAGTTATTTGGTTTAACAGCGAGGAGACAATTTTTGTAACTCTCAATCTTCGATCCGATATCATATTATAAGGGTATTAATGTGCTGAAAATCTTAAATAAATTTATTGTGAAAAATATTACCTCGGCCGGAACTTGAACCCGGATCTCTTGTATTCCATACGAGCGTCCTAAGTCATTAGACCTCAGTGATCTAATGATTTACGATGATTTACTTGTCAATTTAATTTAACTTGTGATAATTGTAGTAGTTTAATTGCATTTAAAAAAGTCCAGAAAAATTTCGGCGCAGTTTGAATACTACAAAAATATAGTATATACATGCATATACATATAGTATATATGCATGTACATATAGGATATTGTAGATCACTGTGAATTATTTGAGAAGATTTAGCTTTGATCGTTATAGGCTTGAATATGCTTACACTTAATATTTAATTTCATGTCGGTCTTAATAAAATCTTATTATTACTTTTCAAAAGTTATAGTTACCAAGTAGAAAGAATAACAAGTTATCGTTATCGAATTTTAAAAGTAATTCGAATAAAAGTATCAATTAGAGGACCCAGCCCTAATGACCTTTACATATGTTGTCAAGATCATGACCTCCAACAGATTTTAATCGTCGCTCGTTATTCATTAAAAATTATTAACAGTCTAAGTTAGTTAATTATCTCCCTGCTTTAAATAAAGAATTAAATAATTTTGGACAAGAAGAAAGGTGGACGAATTCAAGAATACAGCTTTCCACGCAGAGCGTCTTTCACTCCCCCCATGCCAAGAGGCGCGCGATTTTCCATGCGAAGTGACTTTTATCCCATCTTCTCCACTGCCAAAGGCGCGCTCCAAGCAGAACAACAAGTCATTATGATATCAAAATGATGTCAAAATGACTCCAAAATGATCATTAAAAATCATTTTTCAATCATTTTCCGATTCGTTTTAATATTATTTTGATGTTATCGTGACTTGTTTTTTGACATTGTTCTGCTTGGGAAGACTTTCCACGCGAACCGACTTCCACTCTATCTCCCCTTCTGCTAAGAGGCGTGCGATTTCCCACGCGAAGCGAGGTCCATTCCATCTTTGAGCGGAAAGTCGCACGCTCCTTGATAATAGGGGAGGTGAGGTGAAAGTCGCTCCGCGTGGAAAATCGGACGTCGTTTAGCAGCGGAGCAGGTGATGAAAGCCATTACATAAGCAAGGAAGAGTATAATTTTTAATACTATATATAGCAGAAGTAAGACGTTATTTTTTCAAACTTTTTTGTTAATTTTTTAACAAATAACGAGCGACTGCTGAAACCTGTTGGAGATTACTCAGGGTCATGACCTTAACATATGTCAAGTTCAAGGTCATTAAAGATGGGGGGGTTCTCTAATTGGTACTACCGTAACAGTTACCGTTACTTGAGAAAGTAACTTTACATTACTTTTTCATTTTTGAAAATCGACGACCATCTATCACAGCGAACGAGTGCCTAAGGGCTTTCTAGTCTCAAGCGCTATGTGACTAGCTTGTGTCCAATCAATCGTGTCTAATGTGTGCAAAGTAACAATAAAAGTAACTATGAAATTTGTTATCATTACCTAAAAAAATGTAACCACGTTACTGTTACAGTTACCAAAAAAAAGTAACGCAATTAATAATAAAGTTTTCAAAAACTTGTAAGTGTAACTTCGTTACAATTAATGAGTTACTTTCATTCCTTACTTTTTAATGTTATTCAGGATTATGATCTTATTAAAATTTGTCAAAATCAAGGCCTTTTGAGGTTGTTTTTCTTATTTTCGTATAAAAAATTTAAAAAATTTGGGAGAACAAAATCAATTGTCATGAAACTTGACAGAAATGTAATACGAGGTAAACTATCCGTGATAGCAGATAAACCTCCGGACACAGATTTTGAGTAGCGTCTGCTACCAATTTTTAATTGCATCAAACTGTACACAGAGTTTGTACTATCGAACAATGTCAGCAAACTGCTGTCAAAAATATGATAAAGTCTGCTAACATACTATGCCAGCAAACTGGTGATAGAAATCGAACAGAGTCTGCTGTATGTAACTTAACAGCAGATTGCGAGCATAAACTGAGCAGAGCCTACTAACATAATCTAACGGTAGATTGACAGTAAAAATCGAGTCTTTACCATTTTCATATACAACTTCGCCATGAGATGGACTTGCTTCTCGTCGTCCAGGAGTCAATTGGCGTATGTAAATCGAATAGGAAAATTTCCTACAGATCCCAAGCTCTTTTGGAGTGTGCTTTCTGAATCTCCGAATATTATTTTTGACTATTTTATAATTTTCTCATGTATATTTTAAAATGTGTAATTAATAATATTTTTAGCAATAAAACAGTATTGATTGTTTCTAGATTTTACAGTAGTATATATAAATATTTAATTATATATAATTATATATAATCGTTTATATACGAGGGTCGTTCGATAAGTCAGATGAATTTTTGCGAGATGGTGCCATATAATGAACTGTGTAGTTTATGGCCAGGAAGTAACACTATTCAAACTGTCTCATCAAGTTTCAGTCAAATGTGACGCTTAGTTTATGTGTGGCTCACATTGGAAGTGAGCAGCAGTTGTCATAAAAATGGAGAAAGACG